TTTCAGGGCCCTTAGTCTATCCTCATAGGGAGGTTTCTGATACATGGGATCAACTTTGTCATCCTCCTTTGTACATTTTCCAGAGAATTTATATCCATTTGTTATACGGTGACCAAAACTGTGCAGCATAATCTAAATGAGGCCTAACCAAGGATGTATAGAGTTGAAGAAACACCTGAGGACTCCTATTATTTTATGCTTCTTGATATGAAGCAAGGATTCTATTAGCTTTATTGCGAACCTTATGCACTGTTGTCTTGTTTCAGATTACTGCTAACCAGAACTCCTAAATCTTTTTCGCAATCCGTAATATTAAGATCTACATTATTTAGTTTATATGTGGCATGTTATTGTCCTGTCCAACATTAGAACTTTGCATTTGTCTATATTAAACTGCATCTGCCACTTCTCCGACCACTGCATCAGTCTATTCAAATCTTCCTGGAGTGTTCGAATGTCCTCGTCAGAATGATTCGACGGCCTATTTTGGTGTCATCGGCAAACTTGCCGATGTCGCTCTTTATGCCCTCATCTATGTCGTTTATGTAGATTGTGAACAGCAGGGGGCCCAACACTGACCCCGTGGAACACGCTCATGACGCTTCCCCACTCTGATTTCTCCCCATTTATGCAAACTCTCTGCTGCCTATTTGTCAGCCATGCCTCTATCCAGGAAAAAATTTCTCCTCCTATTCCATGTGCTTTAATTTTCCTCAATAGTCTCTGATGTGGGACCCTGTCAAAAGCCTTACTGAAGTCCATATACACAATATCATATTCATTACCATGATCTACCTCCTCAAATACCTTAGTGAAAAAAGTTAATAAATTCGTAAGGCAGGAACGCCCCTTTGTAAAACCATAGCTGAGATTCGTTGATTAATCTTGCTTTTCAAGGTGGCTACGAACTGCCTCGGCAATATTGATTCCATAAATTTTCCCACTATGGAGGTTAGGCTTATTGGTCTATAGTTCGAAGCTAAGGACCTGTCACCTGTTTTGAAAATAGGTATCACATTTGCCATTTTCCACTTATCTGGCACCATGCCAGTTTGTAGTGATATGTTGAAAAGATTAGCCAAAGGTGCGCTAAGCTCCTCTTTACATTCCTTTAGAACCCTTGCATACAGTTCATCAGGGCCTGGGGATTTGTTAGGTTTTAATTTATCTATTTGCCTAAGGACCATGTCACTTGTGACCCTAATAGTGCACAGTTTATTATCGTCCTGTTCTACATAATTTATCATTACTGGAATATCGCTGGTATCCTCCCGTGTAAAAACTGAGAGGAAGTATGTGTTAAAAATTCTACACATTTCCTTATCACTGTCAGTGAGCTGACCCGAGGAACTTTTGAGTGGGCCTATCTTGTCCCTGATCTTACTTCTGTATACCTGAAAGAATCCTTTTGGGTTAGTCTTCGATTCTCTTGCAACTTTAACCTCATAATCTCTTTTTGCTTTTCTAATTCCCTTTTTTATTTCTCTCTTTAACTGAATATATCGATTTCTCAATTGCCCCTCTCCTCTTTTGATTTGCCTATATATGCCTCTCTTTTGACCAATCAGATATTTTAATCTATTGTTCATCCATTTAGGATCATTTTTGTTTGATCTGATTTCCCTATTTGGAACATAATTTGACTGAGCAGCTAGAACTATGCCCTGGAAAGCATCATATCGGCAACCATCACCACCTACCTGACCCTTAGTCAGGTCATTCCAGTTCAGCCCACTAAGTAATTTTTCAGTCCTATGAAATCAGCCAAGCGAAAGTCAGGGACGGAGACTTGATTGCCATTATTAGGGGAATTCCATGATATATTAAAACTGAGTGATTTGTGATCACTTTCCCCAAGCTCATCATTAACCTCAAGATTATTAATTAGTGTTTCCCTACTGGCAAGAACCAAGTCAAGGAGGTTATTTCCCTAGTTGGCTCTGTCACAAAATGTTTTAAAAAACATCCTGGATCATATCAAGAAAGTCACCTGACTCTAAATTTCCTGTCAAATTGCTCCAGTCAATCTGTCTATAGTTGAAATCTCCCATTAGCACAACATTTTCGTATGTAGATGCCTTACGAATTTCGTCCCATAGAAGTTTACTGCACTCCCTATCAAGATTTGGGGCCCTGTAATCACACCCAAAATTAGTTTTTCTCGGCCCTCGAGAAGCTGTAACCAAACAGATCAGTGGCTGACGCTTCTAATTTAATATCTTGTCTAACACAACAATTTAAATTGTCTCTGACATACATCGCTACTCCACCACCTTTCCTGTTGACCCTGTCAGTGTGGAATAATTTATAGCCTTGTATGTGACATTCAGAGGGCATCTCTCTATCTTTCAGATTGTGCCAGGTCTCTGTTATAGCAATAATATCTATGTTTCCTGCACTTGCAATTAATCTTATCTCATCTATCTTATTTCTTACACTCCTGCTATTAGTATAGTAAACCTTAAGGGAGCTAGTCCCTTGCTGCCCTCTGCTGTCCCCCTTTGTTTGCTGACCTGATCTAGTCTTTATTTATAACTTCATGCTGAATGCCTTTTATACATTTACTGTTTCCAACCCAAGTGTTGCAACCTGCTTGTTTCCCACACACACCCATACCTCTATCTTCCATCAGTTTAAAATCATAGGCATTTCACCAATGGCCTTCTCAATCGAGTCTGCAAGTGCTACCACCCCAGCCCCAGAGAGATGTACCCCATCCCTTGCATACATATCATGTTTGCCATAAAAGTTGTTCCAGTTGTCAATGAATGGGATTGCAAGTTCCTTGCAGTATCTGTCTAGCCAACAATTTACACCAATTGCCCTAGACAACCATTCATTTCCTACTCCCCTTCTAGGCAAGATGCTACATATGATTGGGATCCCTCCCTTAGACTTAATGAAATCTATAGCTGACCTGTACTTATCTAGCAGCTCTTCTCTCCTACCCTTCCCAATATCATTTCCACCAGCACTGAGACAGATAATGGGCTTGTTCCCATTACCTGACATGATATTATCCAGCCTGTTGACAATGTCCCCAACACCAGCTCCAGGGAAGCACACTATCTCTCATCTTCTTATTCCTATTACAAAAAGCACAGTCAATATATCTTACCTGAGAGTCACCAACCACAAGAATGAGCTTACCTCCATTAGCAGAGGCAGTAGTACCCTTACCTTCACTGGCCACTGAAGTACATTCATCCTGAAGAACAGAGAAGCGATTTCCTACCTTCAGATCTTCACTCATAACTTTCCTTACTCTGATGCGCCTTCCATTACTGTGAACCACTCGCCACTTGTAGCAGGTGCTGGACTGCACCTCACTGCTGGTAGCCGTTGCTACCTCCCCAACTACAGCCTCCTCACAGCGAGAGACAGACTGCACCTCACTGCTAGAAGCCTCATTCCCCACAACTCCAGCCACCTCACACTCTCTCCCAGACCCATTGAGGTGAATCTTCAGCCTCCTAATTTCCTCCTGGAGAAGCAAGACCTCCTCCTTCAACTCTCCAACCTCAATTTTTAAAACGCTGCAGAAGCAAGCCATGCTTTGTAACCGTCCACACTAATCCCCAAAGCAGCTCAGGGTCTGTGACCTCACGTGACGACTGACCACTGAGTACTGACGACTGACCACTGAGTACTGACTGACCACTAAAGCAAGTGGTGCTAATACAAGATAATTGGTTAGAGTAATAGATTGCAATACCACCCCCAACTTGGTTTGGTCTGCAGTTGTGAATTGCTGTGTATCCTGGTAGAGGGTAGAGATATCTATTGTGTCCTGCTTAAGCCAGGTCTCAGTAAGAATAATGCAGGAGAAGGGTGTCTTTAGTGATTCAAGGAGTGCCAGGAGGTCATCATAGTGTTTGCTTAAGGACCTGATGTTGTAGTTAAGTACTGATAGGCTTTTAGCATTGTTTAGGATAGTGCTGGCTTGTGATGCTGTGTAATAAAGGCAGTTACTAGTTGATCAACACCCTGATACCCATGGAATAGACAAATGCAGTATAATGGCATTTTATACCATTTAACTCCACCTTGGTACCTACTTACTGCTAGGTGAACAGAGGCAGCAAGTTCAAAGGATAGCAATATTTTTTAGCCTCTTGTTCAGGCAGGGGAGCAAGTTTAAGTATAGGTAAACATAAGTACAATTATCATAGTAACATGTGTGAATTACCTAGGATAGCCCAAGAGTCAAATTGACTTATTTCCATGAAGGTCCTAACTAGTTTACCTTCAACACTTGGATATCTTACTAGTAACAAACTAGGGCGTCTTTATTACGTCCCGGGGTGAAACATTCAACATTATGCAGTGACATGCAGCACAACCATAAGAAAGGTTTGAATGTTGCTAGTATCTTTTCAACAACTTGCATACGAAATATTTACTATCTGATGGCCTGGTGGCTAAAGCTCCCGCTTCACACACGGAGGGCTCGGGTTCGATTCCCGGCGGGTGGAAACATTTCGACACGTTTCCTTACACCTGTTGTCCTGTTCACCTAGCAGCAAATAGGTACCTGAGTGTTAGTCGACTGGTGTGGGTCGCATCCTGGGGGACAAGATTGAGGACCCCAATGGAAATAAGTTAGACAGTCCTCGACGACGCACTGACTTTCTTGGGTTATCCTGGGTGGCTAACCCTCCGGGGTTAAAAATCCGAACGAAATCTTATCTTATGTTATCTTCCGCCAAATTGTAGTCGTTAACTATAACCGAAATGAAATACAACAAAACCCATAAATCCTGGAAAATAAAAATAAAGCTTCTCTTGGGTGATGAGGCATAATTTAGAGGCGCATCAACGAAGGTCATCTTACCAACAAATATGCTCAAATTAACAATACTGAGTCATAATTATTCTTTAGGTTAATTTAAAAGGGACAGCTCCAGGAGCTGGACTCCTGCAAACACACGAGAATAAGTACTCACCAGCCCAGTACAATACACTTCACGTAGAATTGAAGAGAATAACAAGACACCCACCTTGCAGCACGAGCCGAGGCAACACTGAGGACTGTGGACATGGCTGACCTTCACTACCTTATAGGAAGTACTTCACTCACTTCTCTCAAGTATATACACCGAGAATTGTGTAATAAATATAAATATAAATAAATAAATATGTGTGTGTACTTACCTAGTTGTACTCACTAGTTGTGGGTGCAGGGGTCGAGTCCCAGCTCCTGGCCCCACCTCTTCACTGGCCGCTACTAGGTCTCTCTTCCCTCTCCGTGAGCTTTATCATACCTCTTCTTAAAGCTATGAATGGATCCTGCCTCCACTACATCACTTCCCAAACTATTTCACTTCCTAATAACTCTGTGACTGAAGAAATGCTTCATAACATCCCTGTGATTCATCTGAGTCTTCAACTTCCAACTGTGACCCCTTCTTGCTGTGTCCCATCTCTGGAACATCCTGTCTCTGTCCACCTTGTCGATTCCTCTCAGTATTTTATATGTCGTTATCATATCCCCCCTATCTCTCCTGTCCTCCATTATTATTATAATCGTCCTGAATTCGTCGCTCGACCTCTGTAGTGAGCGGACGTACGTTAACTGCCCTCTGCTGGCCGTTGAAGCAAACTGAGTTTTTCTCAATATGGCACAGCAGGCAAGGAGGCGGATCAACACTGTATGAAGCTGGTGCGTGGGGCTGTGACGGCCTAAACAGTTTCTGTTATCCTGCCGGCCATAATCAGGGATACCTATGGAGTGGCTGATGAAGAACTTTATGGAGTGGCGCTTAATGGGGCCTACAGGGTCTTTGCTAAGCTCCAAACAACAAGTGTCTACGAGCGGTTGGTGAACAAATATCAAGATAGTTGTGTGGTTGTCAACCCAGCTGTCACAGTGAGACTCATTGACGTGTCACGTTACTTCACGTGGGTTAAGGTGAGAAATGTGGCTTTGAAGTCGATGAGACTGATTTACGGGATGTATTCAGCAGATATGGAACTGTGCATGTGGCGACCGTTGGGAAGTGGACGGAGGGCGCATATGCCGGCTCCTTGAAGGTACCTTCTAGCTGAAGATGACTTTGAAACACCCCATTCCATCGTAAATAGTGATGACTGATTTTCGTACACAAGTGATGGTGTCCTATGCAAGGCAACGCCGCACTTGTTGTCTTTGTGGGTGTGAAAATTTGTCTGGACTGCCTCCAAGTGAGTCGCCTACCCTGGCAAGCTCTGTTGACACCGAGCTCTGAGGTCGGTACCCCAGCCTCACAAGTGGCTTATAGGACAGATTTTCATAAATGACTGATGTTGCAAGAAACCTCGCCTGCATGCACGTTTAAAGGACTAACTTACTTGGTGTTGCAGTATATATCCTGATCTTCAACCTCCCTAAGCTTAGCCCCTTTGGACTTCTCCTCAGAAACCACGTGCAACCGGGAGCCTGAATTTCTGCAATATTCAGTCGATATTAGTGACCTGCCTGCACCTCAGAAATTCCTGTATCCAAGAGGGTGTGTATCCCCTAGTATAACTATGCAGAAACGGACACTAGCTTCTAGGTAGACAAGAGACAAAATCACGTACTGATCATAAACTGCCGGCTGCACAAAGGCCACAGCTCGACTCACTCGCAATTTTCCCCAGACACTGGCCAGAAATCCTAAGAAAAGTGGAGGTCTTGTCTTACTGTATGGGCCTGACGGAGGAGGTCATCTATGGTACATCGAGGTGCCTCTACCAGATTTTCCCAGGTCTCATATGTGAAGACACGTGAGGGGCGCCGTCTGCTGATCACGGCACATGTTGCTCAGATGGTGTCTAGTCTAAGAAGAAAGCACGTCGGTCTCAAAACCCTATGCCCCAGCATTCAAACTTGAGCTGCCAGTTCTCCCTGGCTAACATAGCCTAGTGTCTGCCTACATTATCGGCCTATTACTACCTATGTTAAGGTCTTAGGTCTACATTATTATTATCTACAGTTGCCTCAATAATCCTAATATTAGTGTACTAACAGTATAAACTACCTACTTCTTCCCTGAAGGGTAAATCTATAAATTAAGTAGTACCTTCCATCCACCTTCGTCAATCTGGGAGAGTGTGTTTTTGGTTTTGGGTGGGTGTAAGGGCCCTCGAACAGTGTGTTTTTCCCCGTTGGGACTTCTCGGACCAAATAAGTTCCAACAGTGGTGAGTACGACCATTTTGCGGCACAATGTGGTCACCAACAGTGGAAAAAGGACGTGGGGCGACAACCCATGGCAGAGCCTGTCCAGGAGGTGATGGTTGTGCCTGAGTCGGGTGCACGTCCAAAGACATCATTGTGGAGTGAAGAGGTGGAGCAAGAGGAGCTGCTTGAGGAGTCTTGTGTGACTTTATCTGGGGAATCTTCCTCAGTTGGCCCAGTTATGCTGGGTGAGGAGGGTAGGATGTCCATGGAAGAGAGAGTGATGGAGGACACATTAGCAGCTGTGCTGCAGGGATTGTTGGAAACACCTGGTGAGGCGGAAAAGGAGGGGCTTGGAAAGACCCTTGGGAATGTGTCTTGTGTAAGGTCACAAGATGTGGTGGAGCTGGTTGAGAAGCAGGCTGCCGGGATGGATCTAGTCGCCATACAGGCAGTGGTGCATGACGAAGGCCCTCTGGAGGTGGCTATGGAGGCAGAGAGCGGGTCATGCAAATGGGCGGTGGAACTGTCAGACTCTGATGATGTCCTCACCCCGGCACAGAGGCCTGGCAAGAAGGTGTGGGCAGAGGTGGCACGGGACATCCCTAAGGGGCCCAGGGGCCCGGTGGTGGATACAGGAGGACCTCAAGTGTTTATTCGTGAGCATGGTGGTAGACACCAGCAGGCGTCTAGAGGCGGGTCAGTGCCGAAAGGGCACAAGGTACAGCTGGCTTGAAGTGTGTCTCAGTGAATGTAAATGGGTTGCAGACATTGAAGTGTATGTGGTTCTTGGGTTTTCTTCGTAGGTATGGGGTAGATGTGGCTTTTTTGCAAGAGCACAATTACAAAGCCAGGTGTGAGTTGGTACTGGATGGATTTTGGGTGTTAGATGTGCATTCGACTGATTGAAAGGGGGGGGAGGTCGCCATCCTTCTGCGAGAGACCAGCCTGTTGTGTATGGTAGTGAGGTGGGGGAGGAGGGGTGGGTCGTGCGAGTGGATAGGCTGTGGATGGGGGAGAGGGTGGCACCTAATGTGTGTCTATGGGCCAGCAGAGGGGTATGGGCATGTCAAGAATGCCTTTGTGAGGGATGTATTGGTGTATCACCAGTCGCTTCCCCCGTGGCGGTTGTGGGGGTGACTGGAATTGTGTGGTGAGAAAGAATGATGTTTGGTGGGGTTTTACTCTGTTGTATTAGGGGATCTTTTGCAGGGGGCAGGGTTGTGGGATGTGGCTAAGGGTGAAGCATGGGAGGTGGAGCACATGTTTGTGCGGGGAGGGTATGCTGCCCGTTTGGACCAATTGTATGTAACACGGACTGCAAGGGTAGAAAGGGTGTGTGTGGTGGAGGTAGCATATTCAGATCATCGGGCGGTTGTCGTTGAATTGAGGTGGGATGGGATGCCAAGGAGGCATCGGAGTTTTTTGGAAATTGAATGTTAGGCTCCTTGCAGATGGAGAGGGGAGGGAGGGGTATGCAGGAATGTGGAGGTAGTTGTGGTCAGGGGTGGAGGCTGTTGGGGATTTGTTGGCTTGGTGGGATGGAGTGGCAAAAGGAAGGATCAGGGAGTATTATGTTTGACAGGGCAAGGGGGAGGCTCAGATGACTTTTGGGCTTATACAATATTTAGAGGGGCATTTGAGGGATTGTTATGGGAGAGGGGTGGGGGGTGGGGGCTATCCTGAGTAGGAAATAGAGGGGCTGAAGCAATGGATCAGGGAACTGCAGAATGAGAAGTTTGATGCAGTGCTGGTGAAGGGTGGGTTAGAGGAAGTTTTGTGGGGTGACAGGCCATCGGTGTGTGTTCTGCGGGGGCAGCAGCAGCATCAGGTGGCCACAGAGATGGAATGTTTGTTAGTGCAAGAGGAGGTCGGAGGGTATCGTGTGGGGCAGGTGCTTTGTACAACGGAAGGGATGGGTCATTATGTGGATGAATGGTTCGGGACTTCTTTAAGGAGTGTTGGTGTGAAGGGGGGGCATTAGGGCAGTTGGGACGGCAGGCGGCCAATGTTCTGAGCAGGGGGGATCGTATGGCACTGGGAGGGGACATTGATGAAGGGGAGGTGTGGCGGGCATTATCGAGTATGAGTAGGGGAAAATCCCCGGGGATCGACAGGATGCCATGTGAGTTTTATTTACAGAATTGGGGTGTACTCAAGGAGTTCTTGGTGAAGCTGTTGAATGAGATGAAGAGAAGAGGTGAGCTGGGGGTTTTGCAGGCAACGGCAGTGGCAGTCTTGGTCCTGAAGGTGGCCAGTCCACACACGGTGAGGGACTATAGAGTTATTTCTTTGCTGTGTGGGGATTATAAATTATTTGCTAAAATATTAGGGAACAGGTTGAAGTGTGTGATCGATAGGGTTGTGGCAGCAGGACAGTATGGGGTACCGGGAAGGACTATGCACAAGGGGCATGGGATAATTCGGGGGTTTGTGGAGAGTGTGCAGGGAACGGGAGGGGGGGTGTTAGCCTTAGATTGGCAGCAGTGTATGATAGTGTTGAGAGAGAGGCATTATGGTGGATAATGAGGAGGCAAGGTTTTGGGGATGAGAGTGTGAGGTGGGTGCAAACACTGTACTGTGTGACAGGTGTTTGGGTGCAGGTGAATGGGAGGGTGGGGGATCGGATCCCTATGGGTAGAGGTCTGCGGCAGGGATGTCCTTTGTCCCAATTACTTTTTGCATGTTCGCAGGATCCATTTTATAGGGCAGTGGAGGTGTGTGTGAGGGGGAAGAGGCGTGCTGGGAATTGTCGGTTATGTAGATGACACAACGATTCTCGTGAGTGAGGGGGAAGGTTTAGGAGGGGTGGGGGAGATTGTGAACCTGTTTGGAGAGGCTACTGGCATGAGGGTGAATGTAGAGAAGTGTAAGTTTATGGGGTTGGTAGATTGGGAGGGGAAGGTGGGAGGGGAAGGTAGCTGGAGGTGGGGTGTTGTGGATTAGGTCAAGATTTGTGGGATTGAGTATATGCAGGACGCACAGCAAGCTAGGAT